ATAAAGTAAAATAAAATAAGCTAAAATAAAATTATTAAAATAAAAAATTATTATTAAGAAAAAAATTTTTATAAAGAAAAAAAAAAACCAGACAGATAGATCCCTAGATCAAATGGTGAAAGCAAAGCTATACAGACAAAATCTCACACAGAAGCATACACATACACACTCACAAAAAGCGGAAAAGGGGAAAAAAATCATAAGTCTTGCTCTCAAAGTCCACCTCCTCAATTTGGGATAATTCGTTGTCTATTTATGTATTTCACAGATGCAGGGTACATCAAGTTGATTGTGGAGCTTTAATCTGCTGTTTCTGAGGCTGCTGGGAGAGATTTCCCTTTCTCTTCTTTGTTCTCACAGCTCCTGGGGCTCAACTTTGGATTTGGCTCCGCCTCTGCGTGTAGGTGGCCGGATGGTGTCTGTTCTTCGCTCAGACAGGACGGGGTTAAAGGAGCAGCTGCTTACAGGGCTGTGGTTCACTCAGGCCCGGGGGAGGGAGGGTTACGGAGTGCGGGGTGAGCCTGCGGCGGCAGAGGCCAACAGGACATTGCACCAGCCTGAGGCGCGCCGTGCATTCTCCTGGGGAAGTTGTCCCTGGATCCCGGGACGCGGGCAGTGGCGGGCTGCACAGGCTCCCGGGAGGCAAGGTGTAGAGTGTAACCTGTGCTTGCACACAGGCTTCTTGGTGGCTGTAGCAGCAGCCTTAGCATCTCATGCCTGTCTCTGGGGTCCATGCTTTTAGCAATGGCTCATGTCCGTCTCTGGAGCTCCTTTAAGCAGCGCCCTTAATCCCCTCTCCTCGTGCATCAGGAAACAAAGAGGGAAGAGAAAGTCTCTTGCCTCTTCGGCAGCTCCAGACATTTTCCCGGACTCCCTCCTGGCTAGCCGTGGCGCACAAGCCCCCTTCAGGCTGTGTTCACGCAGCCAACCCCAGTCCTCTCCCTGGGATCTAAGCTCCGAAGCCCGAGCCTCAGCTCGCAGCCCGGCCCGCTCCGGCGGGTGAGCAGACAAGCCTCTCGGGCTGGTGAGTGCCGGTTGGCACTGATCCTCTGTGCGGGAATCTCCCCGCTTTGCCCTCCGCACCCGTCGCTGTGCTCTCCTCCGCAGCTCTGAAGCTTCCCCCCTCCGCCACCCGCACTCTCCACCCGCGAAGGGGCTTCCTAGTGTGTGGAAACCTTTCCTCCTCCACGGCTCCCTCCCACTGGTGCAGGTCCTGTCCCTATTCTTTTGTCTCTGTTTATTCTTTTTTCTTTTGCCCTACCCAGGTACGTGGGGAGTTCCTTGCCTTTTGAGAGGTCTGAGGTCTTCTGCCAGCGTTCAGTAGGTGTTCTATAGGAGTTGTTACACGTGTGGATGTATTTCTGGTGTATCTGTGGGGAGGAAGGTGATCTCTGCATCTTACTCTTCTGTCATCTTCCCCAGTGATCCGATATTAATATATTTAAACATTATACTGTTAAAATCTGGGTGGGAAAGAATAAAAATAGATTATTCCTCATCACTGATCCATAGTACTATGCTAACCAATGAATGATCTTTCACAATAGTGTCTCCCAAATTGATTTCCTTAAAATTCATTTTGTTAATGACTGAGTATGATTTTCCGTTTGAAAATTAATCAATCTTATATATACCTAATACATATGACATAAGGAAGGGGCAGGTGTGTATGTGTGTGTGTGCATGTGCACACTGGTGTGTGAGTGCAAGAATATCTGTGTTGGAATGTGTGTGACTGTGGCATGCCTGGGTTTATAACATGGTGGCTGCACTGACATATTTTAACTATAATAAAAGTACAAATATATAAAACTGAAACTCAAATTACCCAAAAGACTTCCATGAAAGAAAAGATTCTAGGAATTCCAAATTTTTAGACTAATCATATTCTCACCTTATTTCTCCATTGTTTTCCAAACTATTTCCTGGTGTGTAAGACCATGAGTAGCCAGATGGAGAAGTAAACAGAGATCACACAAGCTCCAAGTGTCAGCTTTTCTGCCCCAGAGCCATGATAATGACACGCTAACACCATCCATGGGTCTCTTAGACACATGTGGCAAAGAGATGTTTTGTTTCAGAGAATTTGTGTGAGAGGCTTGGGAAGTGTAAGAGTTCATTATTCAGGAGGAAATCAGAAGATCACAATACACATCTCAGTGACAATCAAATGCCTGCTCCTTCTCCTGGGTGCCCTTATCGAATAAGCCATTCTGTACAGGTGAGCATCTTAATGCTCTCCTCACAGAAGTGGCCTTTACTAGAGTCATTCTCTTTTCTTCCCACTCAAGCCACTGCACACCTACGATTCTTTGTAATCCATATGGAAATCTGGCAACATAAATTTACTTCTTTACCATACATCCATGGTAGAAAATAATATTTAGACTAATGGCTACACAAAGTCAATCAAAGCAATATCACAACCATTTTACAGAGGTTTAAAAATCCTTCTGCCCCAACCTTTGAGATATTAACACTTAGAACTCTGCCTGGAACATCATCAAATCTCACTAAATGCCAGTCTTAGTAATCTTTCTAATGGATTTGCTCCATAGGACACTCAAGATAAATTGATGAATGCACCTATAAGAGAAACATTTTCTATGCTGTGTAAACCACCGAACCTTAATTCAAACAAAAAGAGACATAGGTCCGGGGACTGCTTTAACTTAAATCACAAGTCTCCATAGAAGAAGGGCATGTAAATTGCTACGTGTATAGTGAATGGCTCCTTGATAAAAAGCACAGATACAATCCTAAAAAGCTGAACTTAAAATAGCACTCAGTACAAGTGCTTTCAAAATGCAGATGGTCAATAGACACATGAAAACAAGCTCCACCTTGCTAATCATCAGGGAAAATGCAAATCAAAACCATAATGAGATACCACCTCACACCTGTCAGAATGGCCATCATCAAAAAGAACACAAATAACAAATGTTGGTGAGGATGTAAAAAAGGGGAACCCTTGTACACTGTTGGTGGGAATGTAAGTTGGTGCAGCCACTGTGGAAAACAGTATGGAGGTTTCTCAAAAAACTAAAAATAGAACTACCATGTGATGCAGCAGTTCCACTCCTGGGTACATATATGAAGAAAATGAAGACACTAATTTGAAAAGATACATGCACCCCAATGTTCAGAGCAGCATTATTTACAATTGCCAAGATATGGAAGCAACCTAAGCGTCCAGCATATATATATATATATATATATATATATATATACACACACACACACGCACGCGCGTGCGCAGTGGAATACTACTCAGCCATAAAAAAGAATGAAATTTTGCCATCTGAAGCCACATGGATGGACTTGGAGGGCATTATGTTTATGTTTAGAGAAATAAGTCAGACAGAGAAAGACAAATACTGTATGATATGACTTATAGGTGGAATCTAAAAAATACAACAAACTAGTGAAGATAACACAAAAAGAAACAGACTCGCAGTTACAGAGAACAAACTAATGGTTACTAGAGGTGGGGGGGAGTGGAAGGTACAAACTATTGGGTGTAAGATAGGCTCAAGGATGTGTTGTGCAACACAGCAAATATAGCCAATATTTTATAATAACTATAAATGGAAAGTAACCTTTAAAATTGTATAAAACATTTATAAAAACACAAGTCCCTTTAACTTCTATTATAAAATTGAGACTTATTTCCAAAGAAAGAGTATCAAAGTAAAAATATCAGAAATACAGAAGCCAAAAACTGTGCAAATGTAAGTTAAGTACACATCTGTGTCTGTATACACACATGATCTCAAAGAACAAGAGCTGCCAGGAGATGAAACTTAGAACAGCTGTGCTTGGGACACTCCATGGCCTGAGAAAAGCAGAAACATATAAAATAGGTAACATTTACTTACGATGGCTTTAAAATTGAGGACTTCACCCTTGAGAGCAAAAGTCAGCATAGTACCTCTTGCTCCACTCTTAGGTTTTGAAATTAATAGCAGTGAAGCTTCAGCAGGATGGAGGAAGCGACTGGTAAATTTCAGAGTTCAAACCAAACAGTAATTTGGTTTCTATTTAACAAAAGATGAAAACGAAAATATTGTAGTGAAAAAAGACAACAAGCATCTATTCAGTGTATGTGCCTAGTAACCTCACCCTGCAAAATACTCACTGCTACAATAAAGTTAAAGATTGTTGCAGATCTTAGAAAGCCTACAATCTAGTTATTGCTGTCAGTCAAAACATCTTGATCCAGTATGTAAAACCTAAAGTTAACTTTCAAATGTATGTATAATCTACTGAATACTGGATTTTCTAAGAGCTAGCCACAGGAAATCATATATGTATTTTTGTTGTGAATTTCATAGGACATTCTGTGCTACTGTTTAGGCACATTCTTAGTTATATCAATGACTTTTTTTTTTTTTTTTTGTATGCAGGCCTCTCACTGTTGTGGCCTGTCCCGTTGCGGAGCACAGGCTTGGGACGCGCAGGCTCAGCGGCCATGGCTCACGGGCCCAGCTGCTCCACGGCATGTGGGATCTTCCCGGACCAGGGCACGAACCTGTGTCCCCTGCATCAGCAGGCAGACTCTCAACCACTGCGCCACCAGGGAAGCCCTATCAATGACTTTTGATTGCAGGGAGGAAAAAATGAGAAAGACAAAGAATTAAAAAAATACTTAAAACTGTGGTTGAAAATAAAATTCGAACCTCAAATCAAAATAACGGTATATAAGTAGCATGACTTTTATTTGAAAGATAGACTTAATTAAAAGAAAGAATAAGGAAAACATGTCCATCTCATTTAATCTTCAACTTTCTAGTCTAAACCATAGTGAATTGTTTAAAGAATCGATGGATTCGGAAATTTTACTTCCCAGTTTCTAGGGGAATGAGTCAACCATGGCACCCTGGCAGCCCTGCATAACAACACAGGCCAAACACATGCAAGGCTTAACTGCAGTGGATATAAGTCTTGGCAGAAAGCTCTGTGATCCTCCCATAACATAAGAGCATGGAACTTCAGGAAGCACTGCTACAAGAACATTTTTCACTTGCCTCCCTATCCTCCCTGAGAGGCTGTCACCAGACAGTTTCTCACTGCCTCCTACATTCTGATGAGGTCTGAGGCTTGCCGTCTATCCTCCTACAAGGTAGAGTTACAGGCTAGAAACTGCTTAGTTGCAGCATGAAACTGACTGTCAGCAACAGGTGTCCTTCCATGCATGATGCAGTCATCTGGTCCCTGTTGTTTTGGTGTCACTCTGCATAAGGGACATGGAGATCTGGCCCCTTTGTTAACTCTTGCTTTCACTGTTTATAGAAGTAATGAGGTCTCTGAATAAAAAATGGGCTCAATGTTTCTTTAATGGCTGAGTCTTTCTGCCTTGCCTTGCTGCCACAGCTGTGGGTGGTAAACCGTGGGGACCTTTTACCATTGCTTTTTCACTGGCTTTTAGCACAGTTAGCATTATACATCATATCACAGTTATTCTTTGTACAAACTATCACCTGTCACCTTCCCTTAGGATAGACACAGTTGGGAATGGAGATGGGAATAGATTCTCTCGGCATTATACTTTGGCTTAACTTTCCCAGAACCTTTGAGGAATCTCTGTTAAATGGGTGAGTTTCGGGAGCAGCACAGAGTAAAATGAATGGAGGACTTTCAAAATCAATTGAAATATTCTCAAAATTGTTTCTTAGGGAAAATTACAACTCACAACCAGCAGGAATGGGGAGGATTTTATTCAGATATAATATCACTAATCTCAACCTCTGCTAAAGGACACTTTCTTGGCTATTATGAAAAGCTCAAGGGCTTAAATTTAATTGAAAACAAAGAATATTTGACCTTGAGATCTTTTTTTGGGTGTATAGGCTCAAACTCTGTGTTAGGATACCTGTGAGTGACTTAGGATTTTTCTAGATATTCTAAAATTCATTACTAGATAAAGCCATTCACTCAATTAATATTTATAATTTATAATGTTCCAGACATTGTTTTAGGTTTGGGAGATACAGTAATTGGAAAAAAAATACACTATTCCTGATCTCCTGGATCTTTCATTTTATAGGATATGGCAGACGTTAATTATGTCATCATAAAATAAATGTGAAAATTACAAATTATGTATGTGCTATGAAGTGATAGAAGGGCACATAATGGAGAGTGTGATGTAGTCTGAAGGATCAGAGGAAGTGATATGTTAGGTAGGATATGGAGGACGAGAATGGGTTAGGTAGAATTTGTAGGGGATGAAAGAAGGCATCCAAGACAAGGCCTCTAAAATGAGAAATTATGACGTGCCATGTTGAGATATTCAGTCTATATCCTAATGGTGATGAAAAGCTATTGGAATATTTTAAGCAGAAGAGTAACATGACCAAATTTACATCAAAAAAATTACTGCCATTCTAATATAAAGAATGGATTGCAGAGAAACCTTTTAAGAATCTATTGTAGTAGCCCAGTTTAAAGATGATAGTACATTAAATTAGCATAGAAGAGACAGATAAGAGGAAAGATGTCAAATTTAAGATACATTGGGTAAAATCAATAGGATGAGGTAATGGATGGGCTCTCCATGGAAGGTGATGAAAAATGGAGTTCAAGAATGACCATAAGTGGGCTTCCCTGGTGGCGCAGTGGTTGAGAGTCCACCTGCCGATGCAGGGGACACAGGTTCGTGCCCCGGTCCGGGAAGATCCCACATGCCACAGAGTGGCTGGGCCCGTGAGCCATGGCCGTTGAGCCTGCGCGTCTGGAGCCTGTGCTCCACAACAGGAGAGGCCACAACAGTGAGAGGCCCGCGTACCGCAAAAAAAAAAAAAAAAAAAGAATGACCATAAGCTAGATAACATGCACTTAGTAAATAAATTTATGGAACTATACTTAAGTTTTATGAAACATTTTAAAATAGAGTATCCTTTTTATGAAGCCAACAGCTGGTTTTAGGACCATCAAGATTTGAGCTTCTCCTGAGTACAGATATTCCTTTTATACATTTTGTAGTCATATTTAAGCATGGAAATGACCAGTATTCCTTCCTGAGCGTGTTAGAAATTTCAGAATCAAGTGGGTTGTCCTTTTCAGGTAAGTATCTTATGTCTCCAGATGCATATCATAATTATGGACTTTATCTTAATTTTCTTATCTTTTATTTTCTTTTTGTTCCAACTGCCTCCCCCTCATTCAAAAAAAGTCTCCTTGATATTATATGTACCTCATAGACTACTTCAACATGGCTTTTGGATGGGATGGAAAATAAATATATGACACATCAATGTCAGTGCCCAGATGGCTCAATGAGAATAATGAGAAAAAAAGAAACAGAATGGTTTTCTAAAAGTATACTTTCACTTCTATGACAGTCACTCTATGATTCAAGCTAAATTTAGTCATCAAGTTAGATGCAGAAATGTTTTTTTATATGCTGGTATAGCTGTTTAATCTTTTCTATATAAATGATACCTCAGGGAATTTAAATCCACAACTGGCAGAAAGAGCCATTATTAATCATGATTCAGACAGAATCTAAAACAGGATATGGTGCACATAGATAATTATATAATATCTGATAATGATAAACCTATAGATTTTTTAAAGAAAATAAAATATTTTCTGAACCCTATGTGTAAAAACCAAAGTCTTCTAAATTATTTAGTCTAAAAAGATATTTTTATATCACTGAGACCAAGATAAACAAACATACTGACTGATCTCAAAGAAAATAAAAATAATACAGGTCACAGATGAGAATGTAAAAGTCAGAATATAAAAATCAGAGATGCTTATTAAGATATTATAACTCCAGTTTAAGAACAGGATGCTATGAAATAGAGATACTCAATGCAAAAGAAAGTATTCTTACAAATATATATAGGAGATCACCTATCTATTTATCTATCTATCTATCTATGTATCTCCTAAAGGAAACAGTTGGAAAAGAAGGCTTGTTGATAAAGAGAGAAAAAAGCAATGAGCTGAAAAATATGAGTGATAAGATAGGATATACAGAGGATCCAATTAACAGGTAGTATCCAACAACTAACGGTTGGAAAATGAGAACAATGAAAATGGAGGTGAGAGAATGATGAAAGAAATTATTTAAGAGAATTTTTCAGAGCTTATGGAAAACAAGTTCATAATTAAAGGACTCACTGTGCACCCAGATAGTGAATTTAAAAAGTCCCTCCTTGGGCTTCCCTGGTGGCGCAGTGGTTGAGAGTCCGCCTGCTGATGCAGGGGATGCGGGTTCGTGCCCCGGTCTGGGAAGATCCTACATGCCGCAGAGCAGCTGGGCCTGTGGGCCATGGCCGCTGAGCCTGCGTGTCCGAAGCCTGTGCTCCACAACGGGAGAGACCACAGCAGTGAGAGGCCCGCGTACCGCAAAAAAAAAAAAAAAAAAGTCCCTCCTTGATGCATTCTGGAACAATATCACAACACAATGGAAGATCCTAAAAATGTCCAGAGGTGTGGGAAAACAGAATTATAGTAGACTTTCTCATCACCAATACTGAATACCATGAGGCAAGTGGAACAATTATCTCAAGAGTTATGAGGAAAAACCTTTTCATCTTGGAAAAATATACGAAGCAAAAAATAAATCAAGTGTAAAGGTAGTCAAAAGACATGCCTAAAAATAAAAATTTTAGGAATTTACCTCTCCCATACTTTTTATTAGAAGGTTTCATAAAGGAAGTTTTTTAGTAAATAAGTGAGTACACTAAGAAAGAGAAGGATATTAGTTTCTATCCAAAGAGAAATATAGAGTGCCCAATACTAAGCTCTTCAGTAGGTCTGGAAAGCACTCAGTCCAAATAAGAATGAAAGGTAAGGTGCTCTAGAATGTGGTATACTTGAAGGAAGGATTAAATTTACTCACTTCTTTAGAATTTATTTTCTCAGCTTAAAAAAAGCATCAAAAGATGCTTTGTACACTGATTGCATAAGAAATATTTACAAAACACATTTTTACTCTTGGAACAGTAATGAACAGAGGATAAAACTAGTGATGTTTGGTGGGAGGGTGATCCATCTAGAGGAATAAGTAAGCAAGACCATCAAATATTATAGCTATATGTCAAGACATTATTTCTGAAGTTGACATAATAAAAATACTGGCAAAGATATATAGATTATTTATATTTATGGAGGCAACCACTGGAAGAACTAAAATTAGACATAGTTGAAAGAGTTAAAAGTAGGCACTCAAGAAGTGGATCTTTGGGCTTCCCTGGTGGCGCAGTGTTTGAGAGTCCGCCTGCTGATGCAGGGGACACGGGTTCGTGCCCCAGTCCGGGAAGATCCCACATGCCAAGGAGTGGCTGGTCCCGTGAGCCATGGCCGCTAAGCCTGCGCGTCCGGGGCCTGTGCTCCACAACGGGAGAGGCCACAACAGTGAGAGGTCCGCGTACCGCAAAAAAAAAAAAAAAAAAAAAATAGAATTGGATCTCTGGAGATGGGAATATGAGGGGAGAAGGATTTCCTTTGCATGTTAAACTCTTCTGTATCTGAGTTGTTAAAGCAGATTCAAATTAAATTTTGATTAAAAAAGATAAAGAAGTTGAAAACAAGAATACATGTACAATATGGTCAAAATATGAATACATATATTCATGATTACATGTATAAGTGTACATGGATATATGGTCAGTTAACGTTCACTTGGCATGTGTTAAAAACCTCAAGAAGCTAATATTCATAAATATTTTCTATATTGATGCAGACCATTAAAGGTACAATGGTGAATAAAAAGAAAAAAGCACCGCTGAGAAATTAATGGGAATTACGTTCACCCAAGTGAAATGTTCTCACAAACCAGCTCCTGGAGAAGCAAAAATGATATAATTATATGTCATGGATCTTCAGGATTTCTTACAAATAGTCAAAGTCACATTTCACTGAATGCCAAGGGCTCTGTATGAATATGATATACACAAACACAGACACACAGTATGGCAGGTGTTAGTTTAATAAGAGTACTAACTCTGGATTTACATTGGCTGGTTTTGAATCTTTATTTCACCATTTAATAGCAGGGAAAATTGGGCAAATGATTTAATGTCTCTGTGCCCAATGTCTTGTTTTGTAAAACGAGGACACTAGTATGGTTGCAAGAATGATTAAATATGAAAAGGTACATAAAAGTGTATGCTATATAGATTTCATACATAACAAATGTTTAACATATATTGTTTTAATATTTATATATATAATACATATACTTTGTAAACATCTAATTATATATATGCTATAATAAACACATACTTGTTCATATAAAAAGACTGGAAAGAAATGAATAAATTAAATGTGTTTATCTGATGGAATTCTAGACAATTTTTGTTTTCCTCTTTATACTTTTCTGTTAAGTGCAAATTTTCAACAATGCAGGTATACAGGTTTTACATTTATAATAGAAACTATAAATTTAATTGTTAATTTAACTAACAAGAAAAATGGTCTTAAGCTACGACATCAGAGGTTTAGTGTGGTTGTTAGGAAGAATTTCCACATCATGAGAACTTTGAAATACTGGAAGAGGCTATCAGGTTTATGAGTGAACAAAGGGTCGGGGGGGACTTAATTCTTTTCACTTGTATCATCCTATTTGAAGGGCAGAGAAGAGATCATTTATCAAAGTCCTGAGGGAAGACAAATGGTACTGTGACAATGTCCAAATGAATTTGTATTACCAAAGTTGTGTTTTATAACAGACGTATAAGAAATATAACTTGGAAAACAAATGGGCTGTTTTTACAAAGAGTTTTATTCTGGGATTTGATTTATAATACAGATGGAGGTGAGTGGAGAATTGTTTTTCTCATATTTAATTCAATCTGGATATAGTCTCAACCATGAATATTCAGATTTTATAAATTATATACTCCTTTAGCATGGAGCAGCAACTGAAGAAAATGAACAGAGGCTAATGACACAAGTCAAATGTACTACTGTAACTGGGTTTCTTCGTATTTTAAATACAATTAAAGTTGTCTCCCATTTCCAATTATTTCTGTGTTTGATATATTAGAAGTAATAAAGACTACATGTGAAAAGTAATTCAGTTTAAGGTATAGTTCAAAAACCTAAAAGATAATTAGCAGTTATAGTCTGTTGCTTTGTACAAGGAAAAAGTAATTGAATACAAAGACAATGACTAAAATTTAAGACTGGTTAAAGACCATTACTGGTTATCAAATCTGTCAACTCCTGTGGTACTGACACAGCTATTCTCATATCATTGTTGTAATATGTAATAAGAGTATTTGCCATCATTAACACATTAATATATGAAGTAGGATTTCTTGATCTAGGAAGAATTATATATTATGCTCATATTTAATTTCTCAAGACTATTCTCTGAGGCTTTCATTTGTTCCTTATTTTTGAGAATGGGCTAGTAACTGAAACATTAAACAAGTATCATGTGAACAGAATCAAATAAAAATGAGACTATAGGGCTTCCCTGGTGGCGCAGTGCTTGGGAGTCCGTCTGCCGATGCAGGGGACACGGGTTCGTGCCCCGGTCCGGGAGGATCCCACATGCCGCGGAGCGGCTGGGCCCGTGAGCCATGGCCGCTGGGCCAGCACGTCCGGAGCCTGTGCTCCGCAAAAAAAGAAAGAAAACAACAAAGAGACCACAAAAAAACAAAAAAAAAAAAAAAAAAAAAAAATGAGACTATATAGAATATCATCACAATTTGGGAGTGTACATGTATGTATACATCCATACATAAATATACAATGATTATGAAGCGACAGAGAAAAATGGAAACATTGGGGGTATCTTTGAGGTAAGATTTTTAGTCTTTACTTTTATTTTTCTTCAATCTTTCATAGTTTCTAAATTTTTACAATGAGCACGAAGTGCATTTATAATCAGAAACAACTAAATATTATATATATATATTTAGCACACACTGGTTCCAGTTTCCTGGACTGGGACTGTAGTACATAAAGAACTTAGAGGCTATTCTCTACGGACCATATGCATGCAAAATAAACTAAAATTAAATGCATACATAAAAAGTAAATGCTTTATATTGTTAGAACTGTTTAAACAAAATTGGTGAGAAATCTCAGTAACATATGAAAAACTTATCTATATCAGCAGTGGAAATCTTTTCATTACACATATATATCTGTTAAAAACAAATCCAGGGACTTCCCTGGTGGTACAGTGGTTAAGAATCCACCTGCCAATGCAGGGGACACCAGTTCGAGCCCTGGTCTGGGAAGATTCCACATGCCGCGGAACAACTAAGCCCGTGCGCCACAACTACTGAGCCTGCACTCTGGAGCCTGCGAGCCACAACTACTGAGCCTGGGAGCCACAACTACTGAAGCCCATGTGCCTAGAGCCCATGATCCACAACAAGAGAAGCCACCGCAATAAGAAGCCTGTGCACCGCAACAAAAAGAGTAGCCACTGCTCTCTGCAACTAGAGAAAGCTCTCGAGCAGCAATGAAGACCCAACTCAGCCAAAAATAAATAAATAAAATAAATAAATTTATTTAAAAAAAAAAACAAATCCAGCTCGCTCTTTTGTAATTATAACACACATTAACTCTCTAGGGTTGATATGTTCAGTGAAGCAAAATTAAAAGAAAAAAAAACACTTACTTTGGAGAAACTGTCACAACCTTCCCTTGGGAGAGGAAGAAGTCAGTGGCATCTCTTCCGATAATTGTAGCATTATACACTAAGTTTTTCAAGCTTGAATTTTTCAGTAGGATCTATGTTGAAGAAGAGTATAAATGAGATCATGAATTTTAAAAATATATAACTTAACATTTCTTATTTTTATCAAAGAGCTATATATTTTAATCATGAAAATACTTACTCCTAGTATAGTAACTGGAAGGAAACAGAATTTGTGTTCAAAGATAGTGTGTGTGTGTATTATTGTTTTTTTCCAGAAGTGGGCAGGGAGAAAGAGCTACCAGTCAAGGAAATTACAGATGTAAGAACACCTGATCTTTGAAGATATGAAATCCAAAGTTAGCAACTTGGATTTTAACTGTACTGCAAAGGGAAATCTTTAAAGAATTTGGAACAGAGAGCTTACATAATCCAATTTACAAAAAGGTTACTCTGGCTGCTCAGTGTAGAAAGCATTATAAGGAGTGTAGGTTTAGTATCAGAGGTCCAGGCTGAAAACGATGGTGGCCTCATCTAGAAGTGGTAGTAGAGCTAAGGGTTGGCTGTCCCTTCCTTCCTGATGCCAAGATATGGAGAATATTTGAGAATGAGTTACTTCATTTTTAGAGAGCATTTCATGAAAAATGTGAGTTTATAAGTGTTTATGCAGAATATAATGGGGATTAAAAAAAAATACACATTAGAACGACACAGAGTTATCATGGAAAGTACTGACCCAGAGGACACAGAAGACCTGAGGGAAGTGAATGGTTGGCCAAATTAGAGTAAGGAAAAGGTGACAGCACTTAGGCAGTCCAGGAACTATAGTCATAGATAGAATATGGTAGATATCTGTTGAAAGATAAATTAACTACTTTTATATTTCAATAAGAACTTTGGTAACCACCAAGACAAGTAAGTTGTTGCTGAAGAGTTTCTACCCTTTGTTTACCCTCAAATTTGGGGCTCTCATGTTGCTTACCTGTTTACAGATCTCAGTAACAATCGAGGCAAGACTCCTCTAGTGTCTTATTTTTAATGTACGTATGTGTGCATTTAAAGTATTAATTAACAGATCTAGTGATTTTAAGTCACAGAGAGCTAATTTCCATTTTCTGGAAGGAAATGTTGAAAATAATAGTAGATGTACTATGAACTGTTACTGGTTTATAGTCTTGGAACTTCCATAACCAGCCCTGAGATCTGAAGAAAGCTACTCATTCTCATTATGTCACACACACACACACACACACACACACAAATAAATTTATATAAAAATAAAAAAATAAATAAATGATGCAAAGGCATAGGGCCCATCTGTGGTCAGATTATTCCACCCAATTCCAGGATTTCATGTAGGGGTCATGTGAGTGGTAGATGGGGAGAAGGGAAAGCTGTTCAAGGAAAGAAAGCAAGTTTTGGAACCTCAATTCTCCTTTTGCAATGACAGCCATTCTTTAACTATTGTGCTCCTGTGTAAATTTTGTTTCAAAAAGTAAAAAAAAAAAAAGATAGTTCTATTGCTTTTAAAAGTATCTCAGAAAATCACTGCACTCTACATTTTTTCACTGATCATTATACTGTTTAATGGTCCCAGTATTCTATTTGTGACACATAGCTACAAAAATACTTTTTCAATTATAGTAGCCGTTTCTTGAGATTTTTCTTTATACTGGAAGGTTGAAAGGGTTGTTAAGAATGACTTTCTACTACTTAGGCACTGCCATTTACGGTGTTGATGCATATGGGCAAACTATGCCATAGATTCTCAGCAATTTCCAAATCAGTGATTTTCTTGAATGAAATTTAAAATCAAAGTATGTTGTAATTAATATTTTATTTTGCATTTCTATTTAATTTTTATTGTTTCCTTCAAAAGATGTTTATTATATTTGTGAAAAATAAAAGTTCTATGTAGAATCGCATCTATAATCTTAAAGTGTGAACATTATTCTTAGTAAAAAGTGTCAAAAGAAACCATGTTTCTATTTTAATATGCTTTAATCTGATTTTTAACATCACAAATAAAATTTATGTTTAAAAATTAGCTTGTGTTATTAACTTTTTCAAAATAATAATCAAACGGCATAAAGAAATTAAAACGTGTACAGAATTAGAAAACTAGTAATAATACTTAAGTGAAATAAATCACTGCTTAAATCTAATTCAGACCTCTCCTATCTTCTGCAGGCTTAAGCAAAGCATTTCTAACTCTTCAGAAATTTGATTCTGAAGTCAAAAGTCCTCTTCATTGTAATTACAGCTCTAGGCCAGTTAGTACCCAAGGCCCTTAATTATCATTGCACGTAGTGAATTACCGTACAAAATACTGTTGAAAAAGTTCTCTGAAGAGTTTTGTATCTCTTTTTCCAACAAAAAAAGGGAAAGGAATAAAATTTTTAAAAAAGGATCATATCTCAATGTTTGCTAACAGAAAATCAGGAGGAGTGGCTTTCCTTTCCCTAAATTGAGCCCTTTACACTTTGAGACAAGGACCTGAGTTTTTCCTGACTTTTAACTGAATCCTTATTAACCATCACTCATACAGTCACAGAGCCTGCACAGTTATTTTCTCAAAAAGGTTACATCTACAAAACACCAGGATGTACCTTTTGAAGACCAAATATGGACGTGTTTTGCATCAAAAGTATCAAATTACCACCCCCCCAGCTTAACATGAGGAGGAATACATAAAACAGCCTAAGGACAAGGAATAAAAATGATCTGACCAAAGAGGTAAATTAACTTCTGTACATAGTAAGATTCTAACAGCCCAGACTTTCCTGAGAAAGAAGGAGAGAATTTGGTTGAAGATTTTATGAAAACTAGTAGAAGGAACAGTCTTAAACAAATATAAGAAATAAAACTGTATGCTCAACATATTTCACAAGTATTCATATGAAACATATTGTTTGAAAACTAAAGTGCTGTTGATGATCCCTGACAAGATATTTCTCAATCAAAGAAAACACTTGCAAAACATGGACATATTTATATAGTTTTGTCAGGGTCACAGGACTGAAAATTTCATTTTTAATTTTTCCTGCATATTAAAAAAATTCACTGTTACATATTTAGCAGCTCTAGCATATATAAAAGCCCTTAGTGGGGATTAACAGTGGCCCTGGTCAGGAGTGCTTTCATAATTACTTCCCTTTCCATATCCTCATTTGAACAAAATTCATCTGGATGTGTAAAGTTCCCTAAAGGAAAGCCAGGCATACTCCGATCACAAGTTTCTACTTACTGTGTCAGTCTTCTTGTACATGAAATGGATCTCAAGTTTCCTGAATGATTTGCCCTTCAAAGTACTTAACTTTCATTTTCCATCTCCCCACCCTATTCCTCAAATAAATGAGGCATCATTTCATTGTAGGTAGTGATTACTATTAAGGAAAAATTCTCCCTTTCACTCTGCTATACCTTTAGTTTAGAAGGAAAAAACATTTAAGGCTTATTTTATCATACTGATACTTTTGTTAATTTTGGGTTGAGAAAGAAATATCTAAAACCCACTTAAACGTTTAACTCCACGTATATTTTGGCCCCAAAGATATCCTTACCTCTCTCAACACAGTGTCATGAAGAGTACAATGAAAGGGCACCACCTTCTTGGGGAGATATGCAGGAAGTCTTTCATACATGCAGACACAAAACATGAGCATCAGGATTGGATTGGGATCACAGATATCAGTAGCCTAGTTTCAAAAAAGAGAATTATAAATTACAGGAAATACAGATAAAATATATAAAAAGAGCTAAAGCACAGTACATCAATTGTTGAATTACTTAAAACATCTTAAAATGTTATTGACACTGAAATATTGCTATGAGCAAACAAAATATTGCTGTGAATCAGAACAGCTTCACCTATGTGTTAAAAGATAAATTAGATGTATTCTAAATATAACAATGACCTCACAGCCTCAAAGATGTGATAAAAGCTAGTCAGAAGTCAGAAAAAATACTGTGCACTAGAAATACTGACTAATGTGATTAAGATACCATCCCTGACTTAAAGTATATAATATGGTAAAAGGTAATAGTAGACAAACTACTAAGGTAAAAGATGGCAAGAGATTTTCAAGCAAAAGCCCAAAGGAGGAGGTAGCAGATGGGATGGCCTTGAAGAATGCTTGGATTTTAAATAAGTTGGTGTTTGAAGTGAGAAAAAGGTATATTCTATCAGAAAGGTAAAGAACTCTAGGACAAGGATATAGGAAGTATAGTGTTCATTCGGGAAAGAAAAAGTACAATCCAAATCACGCATAATAAGATAAGAAGGGGCCAGTTGTGGAAGAAAAGACTAAGGATTGCCACGGCCACATAGAGGAGGGTGTGGACGCCAGGGTGAGGGACTTGATTTCAGAACAAGGAATAACACAAGAGCAACAATTCGGGCAGATCAGGTAGGGGCAGTGGGAGGTGGCTGGGGAAGTACTTTGTCTAGAACAAATCACAGTAAGGCAGAAAATGTAATTATACTGATAAACAAGATAAATTAGTACTGACTGTTGGAAGAGATTTGAGAGAAAATCCAGAATTAGGGAGGAATAACAGCAGGGACAATCAACATAGCCAGAATGTGCATTAAACCCAAAATGTAGAGTCAGGAGCAGAAGGAGGAAGGATTCTTTCTCTCAGTTTATGTAGTGCTTATGATCTCCTAGAGAAAGGTGGAAGTAGTGGGGAAGAATTATTCACAGCAATGAAGTATTGGGATTGGTCTGAGGCAAAGACTCAAAGACATATAAACACCACTGATCAACAAGCAGCTCTGTCATTGTTAGTCAACAGGGAGCTCCTAACATTTCCAAAAAATGAAGATCTACTATGACTTAATGGCACACATTCACATAGCAACTGAAAATGATCCAGGCCTGGCTTGCAAACACAAATAGTGCCAGAGCTAAGTATATCTAAAGTGTTATGTGAAACTAAAGCACTTGATTCTGAAATCTGGCAGCAGTTACCACAGAATAATGACAGCCCCTTTGATCATCTGCTAGTCCACATTCCCGAAAACATTCTTTTCCTTCTTTGAAAGAACACAAAGGTTTATTCTTTCTTGTTGTCAATAAGCAGTAAGGCTAACCAATAAAGGTGCCTGGGGAGGAGATTATTAGGGGGAAAAGGGGGAGCCTCGGCAGGGTAGAAAACTGTTAGTGAGTATGATGTGAGGAAAACTGAGAAATATATCAGGACCTCAAAGTTTCTCATCAGTATTCTGTCATCTCACATTTCTTCACTAAGGACAATGTTAGTCAACATATATAGGAAAATTATTCAACATAAGGACAAACTGAAAAATGGAATACAGAGTTTAATTCCCACGAAATGAAGAATATGGGCCAGCCTCTGGGTGTGATCCAAAGAGAGCTATCTATAGTGATGGGAAATGTGTTCATTGGGGAAAGGGTAGAACTAGTGGCAGGATACTCTGGTTCCCAAGCCTGAGGCCAGTAAAAGTCTTCTGAACAGTTATAGTGACTACAGCATAAAATATATAGGCAGCAATACAAAATTATTCCAAAAACTCACCTTTGAAAAAGGTGTAATAGGATGAAGAGGCAGTATTTTGGAAATGAAAAAAAATGTTTATCTTAATTGAAAAATACTTTTGATAATCAGGGTATTAGAGTGAAAAACCTTTAGAAAAGCACAGTCTTACCTTTATGATAAATTTCAATGAAAATAACCTAAAGAACTTTAAAGTAATCTTTAAAAATTGTATAAAAGGGCTTCCCTGGTGGCGCAGTGGTTGAGAGTCCGCCTGCCGATGCAGGGGACACGTGTTCGTGCCCCGGTCCGGGAAGATCCCACATGCCGCGGAGTGGCTGCGCCCGTGAGCCATGGCCGCTGAGCCTGCGCGTCCGGAGCCTGTTGCTCCGCAACGGGAGAGGCCACAACACAGAGATGCCCGCGTACCACAAAAAAAAAAAAAAAAGGGACTTCTTTTTCAAATATAACTGGTAAATAAGTACCATTCTGTGAACAATTTAAAAGCACAAATTGCTTTTTGTGATACTATGGGCTAATTGCTTCATACATTAGAGTGCATCAGAATCACATGGAGAGTTTACTAAAACACAGATCGCTAGGCCCCATCCTCAGAGTTCCTTAATCAAAAGGTGTGAAGTGCAGCTCTATCCATCTACCCTGCACAACACCACTGCACCAAGCTGTAACCATGGTGAGACTTTACCAATGGAGAGGGATGAGTGGAGTAAGTGTCAATGTTGAGAAGTAAAAATCCAGGGCACTGAGTATGACTTTTGCTCAGTCCAAGTTAACCTAAGTAAAGCCCTTCAGAGAGCTTCTCCTCATGGACCACCACAGTTATTAACCATGCAGACCTGTACTCAGGTACATACTGAACACGGAAACTGCCTCTTTCTAATTTAACCATTCGACCTGATCCCTACATTGGTACTAGCAGGTAGAAACTAGTAAGCTAATGTACACTCAATTGTCTGAAATAGGGTAGAGAAATATATAAAACCTGAGTGTGTCCCATTATTCACTCATTTTTCATTCATTTATTTATTTACTCAATATTTGATATCTGTTATTTTCCAGGCACTTTTCTGAGACTACAGCAGCGAACAACAAAACAGAATAGACTGTTCCTGTTAAGAAGCTCACATTCTACAGGAGGAGGCAGGGTATAAATATGACCGGGGATCAACACTACTGAGAAAAATAAGCAAGAAAGAGAAGGACTGAAGGATGTACTAATTTAGAGAGGGTACTGGGAAAGCTTCTCAGATAATGTGATATTTGAGCAGGGTCTTGAGTGAAGTGGGAAAAAGAATCGTGAAGATATCCAAGAAAATGAAGCTCCAAGCAGAGGGAATAGAAAGTGCAAGGGCTTTGCAAAGGCATGAGACACAGTGTTTTAAAAAGCAGAAAATAGGCCAGGCCCCATAATGCATTATTCTAAAAAATGCAGCAAACTCTGTGAAAACAACTTGTGTACGTCATTTTGTTGGTAAAAAATAGAACCATAATAATTTTACAACAAAAGGACATATTCATTTCTAATATATATACATATTGTATAACACTGGTTAAAGTGTTACTCCTCAGTAATCAAAGTGCTTATTAACACCTTGTTTTACATTTTTTTTTTTTGCGGTACGCAGGCCTCTCACTGTTGTGGCCATTTCTGTCGCGGAGCACAGGCTCCAGACGCACAGGCTCAGCGGCAATGGCTCATGGGCCCAGCCGCTCTGCGGCATGTGGGATCTTCCCAGACCGGGGCACGAACCTGTGTCCCCTGCATTGGCAGGCAGACTCTCAACCACTGCACCACCAGGGAAGCCCTTGTTTTACATTTTTGAATAGGCCAAATACATGTTTATAAGATTTGAATCTTATTAAATTGCAGTTTCAAGGCAAATTGCTTGATATTATCAGCATGTCAATTAGAAGGTGATAAAATATTGCATGTTTACTGTTCTCTAACACCAATATATCAATATATCTCTTTCAATCTTGATGTCACTATGTTTGCTAAACTAATGCCTTTAAGTTAGGAGCAACTGTAATTCAAAGTCTCATTTTAAATCATACTTTTATATTTTTTTATATTTTTATTTTTTTTTAACATCTTTATAGGGGTATAATTACTTTACAATGGTGTGTTAGTTTCTGCTTTATAACAAAGTGAATCAGTTATACATATACATATGTTCCCATATCTGTTCCCTCTTGCAGCTCCCTCCCTCCCACCCTCCCTATCCCACCCCTCCAGGCTGTCACAAAGCACCGAGCCAATATCCCTGTGCCATGCGGCTGCTTCCCACTAGCTATCTACCTTACTACGTTTGTTAGTGTGTATATGTCCATGACTCTCTCTCGCCCCGTCACAGCTCACCCTTCCCCCTCCCCATAACCTCAAGTCCGTTCTCTAGGAGGTCTGCGTCTTTATTCCTGCCTTACCCCTAGGTTCTTCATGACATTTTTTTTTCTTAAATTCCATATATATGTGTTAGCATACTGTATTTGTCTTTTTCTTTCTGACTTACTTCACTGTGTATGACAGACTCTAGGTCTATCCACCTCATTACAAATAGCTCAATTTCGTTTCTTTTTATGGCTGAGTAATATTCCATTGTATATATGTGCCACATCTTCTTTATCCATTCATCCGATGATGGGCACTAAGGTTGTTTCCATCTCCAGGCTATTGTAAATAGAGCTGCGATGAACATTTTGGTACATGACTCTTTTTGAATTTCGGTTTTCTCAGGGTATATGCCCAGTAGTGGGATTGCTGGGTCATATGGTAGTTCTATTTGTAGTTTTTTAAGGAACCTCCATACTGTTCTCCATAGTGGCTGAACCAATTCACATTCCCACCAGCAGTGCAAGAGGGTTCCCTTTTCTCCACACCCTCTCCAGCATTTATTGTTTCTAGATTTTTTGATGATGGCCATTCTGACTGGTGTGAGATGATATCTCATTGTAGTTTTGATTTGCATTTCTCTAATGATTAATGATGTTGAGCATTCTTTCATGTGTTTGTTGGCAGTCTGTATATCTTCTTTGGAGAAATGTCTATTTAGGTCTTCTGCCCATTTTTGGATTGGGTTGTTTGTTTTTTTGTTGTTGAGCTGCATGAGCTGCTTGTAAATTTTGGAGATTAATCCTTTGTCGGTTGCTTCATTTGCAAATATTTTCTCCCATTCTGAGGGTTGTCTTTTGGTCTTGTTTATGGTTTCCTTTGCTGTGCAAAAGCTTTGAAGTTTCATTAGGTCCCATTTGTTTATTTTTGTTTTTATTTCCATTACTCTAGGGGGTGGGTCAGAAAGAATCTTGCTGTGATTTATGTCATAGAGTGTTCTGCCTATGTTTTCCTCTAATAGTTTGATAGTTTCTGGCCTTATATTTAGGTCTTTAATCCATTTTGAGCTTATTTTTGTGTATGGTGTTAGGGAGTGTTCTAATTTCATTCTTTTACATGTACCTGTCCAGTTTTCCCAGCACCACTTATTGAAGAGGCTGTCCTTTTTCCACTGTACATTCCTGCCACCTTTATCAAAGATAAGGTGTCCATATGTGCATGGGTTTATCTCTGGGCTTTCTATCCTGTTCCATTGATCTATCTTTCTGTTTTTGTGCCAGTACCATACCGTCTTGATAACTGTAGCTTTGTAGTATAGTCTGAAGTCAGGGAGCCTGATTCCTCCAGTTCCTTTTTTTGTTCTCAAGATTGCTTTGGCTATTCGGGGTCTTTTGTGTTTCAAAACAAATTGCGAAATTTTTTGTTCTAGTTCTGTGAAAAATGCCAGTGGTAGTTTGATAGGGATTGCATTGAATCTATAGATTGCTTTGGGTAGTAGAGTCATTTTCACAATGTTGATTCTTCCAATCCAAGAACATGGTATATGTCTCCATCTATTTGTATCATCTTTAATTTCTTTCATCAGTGTCTTATACTTTTCTGCATACAGGTCTTTTGTCTCCTTAGGTAGGTTTATTCCTAGATATTTTATTCTTTTTGTTGCAATGGTAAATGGGAGTGTTTTCTTGATTTCACTTTCAGATTTCTCATCATTAGTATATAGGAATGCCAGAGATTTCTGTGCAATAATTTTGTATCCTGCTACTTTACCAAATTCATTGATTAGCTCTAGTAGTTTTCTGGTAGCATCTTTAGGATTCTCTATGTATAGGATCATGTCATCTGCAAACAGTGACAGCTTTACTTCTTCTTTTCCGATTTGGATTCCTTTTATTTCCTTCTCTTCTCTGATTGCTGTGGCTAAAACTTCCAAAACTATGTTGAATAAGAGTGGTGAGAGTGGGCACCCTTGTCTTGTTC